CTGTGCCAGCAAAATCTGTCACAGTGCAGCAAGTATTCTTAGAGGAAGTTTTTTGTAAGCTCTTTCATCAGCTTTCCTGAGAATAAGGTAACAGCTAATAATGCAAGTGGGAAAAGCCAGCACTCAGAAGCCATAACCATACTTAGGGGTTTGTGGAAGAAGCAAGAACTCAGCTCTCCTGCTTCTTGATTGCTGGGTATTCTCAAGCAGGAGACAAAGCTGACACTAGTTAAAGTAATAATGTATGTCATTAACATACTAAATTTTTAAACTGTTTAATAAATTCATTTTACAGTGCTGTAACTCATAACACCTACTGTTGCAACCATGCCCCTTCCAAAGGAGCTATATGCTTAGTTGCCAGAAGTAGAATTTTTGGCAAAGGGGCAAAACCAGCATGCTTACATTTGGAAAAAAAAAACAGCCTGTGCTGTCACTATGATATTCTGCTAGAGTGTTTTATCTGGTAACAAATTTAGAAGATATTCTGCCTATCTTTAGGTTTGAAGGCAAGTAATCCACATGCCAGAGCTAGTGTTTTCAGGTTCTCCACCAGCATCTCTGTGTCAGGTTATCTTTACCTCATATTTTCAAGGTTGCTTTCTTAACAGTAGGGGTTGGAAAGATTCACCAAAAAACAGTGTGTTTTTGAAACATTTCTGTGAGAATCTGCCCATTGCTGCAGAACTCACAGGGCTTCAGTGGCATTAAAAGATGCTAATTAGGTGGCTGCTGCACATGGAGAGGGAAAAAATAATGTAATGGAAAAAATATTTTTCCTATTGAAAATTAAAATAATCCCTACAATGAACAAGACATTCAGAAGATTAGTGCAGTCAACTATAACTGAAATCTGAGGAAACCCAGCATAGCCAAAACAAATGTGATAAAACAGGTGAGCAAATAAAAAATTGTTCCAAGCAATTCTTGACATTCATGCTGTTTCTATTCTCCTCCTTGCACAAACGCCTGTTTCTGAATAAAAACAGTGCTTCATCTGCAGAGACCAGCATCTGCTTCTGTCAACAGTAAACTATTTAATCTCTAAATTCAACTTAAAACTGAGAAGCTTAAAGGATAGTCAAGATATCTGATGGCATTAAAGATGACATGCAAATTACAGCTTTTATCAGACTAATGTTCTTCAGTTTAATTGGAGTTTGGCTTGCAGAAAAAGTGGAAGATGTATTTGACAAACACCACATAGACATTACACAAAATTGTAATCGATTGAAAGACTCCTAAACAGAAGATCAAAAATATTTTCCAAAGTTGTTATTTATACTTTTCAAAGGTCCCTTCACTGAGTTAAGACTTTGCATTAGGCCATTACTGTTAGTTTGTTTCATGATTATTTAACTTAAATCCTATTTTCCTCCTGGAACTTTGAATTCTTTTGTAAATGTTAACAGAAGTTCCATAGTCAGACTGTTTGTGCTTTGATACTCACCATTAGAGACATCACATCAGAAGGACACCTCCTATCCTTGTTCACGTAACTAAAAAGAAATGCAGCATTAACCAAGAAGCCAAAGTTGCCTGAGGACCGAAGGTTTTGCTTGAGCTAAGTTGTTTATTCCAGTGCTTCTCACCTGCGGACCGAAATTTAGTGAATCAACTCCTTTATCTCAGTTGTTTGTAAGCCAGTTCGTTTTCATTTTATTTATCAACTGAACAGTAAGGGAGCTTACAGTTTTTAAAACATATTTAAACAATACAACATTCCTGTTGATTCATCTGTGTTGATTCATCTGATTCCAGATGCCTATCTCAAGTCAAAGAGAAGAAAACCCATGCAAGACTTTATACAGGCACTCAGACAGTACTAGACAAGCCAATTATGTTTATGCAAGATGGGTTTTACAGCATTTTTGCTAAAATACCAGTTCTTCAGTTTATCCTTCTCAAAATGACAAGATGAGTAAATACTGATTACACTTTAAATAAGTTAAGAACTATTGAATTCAAGCACTATTTCAAAGTTTAAATTGCTTCTAAATTATGCCATTACTCCATCTTGTAAACTCACCTGAACTCATAACACCATCTGAGCACTCTTGTTCTCTCTGCACTCGTTATGCCCTGCCTAGACAAGGTATTAAACACTGCATACCACATAGCGTCAATTAAGCAGTTACAAGCCCAGTAACTAAAGAGTTTGGAAGAACTGCCACAAGGTGGAGATAGATGCCTGCAACAAGAAATAAGCGTTCAAAGAGTAGCAAATATGCTGCAACTCTGACATTCGAGCCTCATTTCATAAACACATTACCCAGATACACCTCCCTCTGTTACAAAATAGATCACTGCAAAAGGCATGGCAAGAAAGAAGAGGTGGGAGATGAACATTGCCTGTCTTTAAAAAGCATCCCAGTTAAAATGGTAATTAAATTGCCACAAAAAATAGGTATTCTTGTAGAATTTAAAACTACATAGATTTTTGCTATTGACTGTATTAAACCCCTGAGTAACTTGTTAGTGTTTGAAGCAGGCAATAGAAAATAGTCAGGAAAGTTCTCTTTTTAAAGGGCACGCGCCTATGAAAAATCAGAGTCCCCAGCCTTGTAAGAGGTTTCATAGAATTGAAACCAGGACTGAACATGGTACCCAGTACTAGCTCAAGTCCTTAATTTTGGCCTAAGTAAGTTGCAGTTAGCATAGCATTCTTCCTTACTGCAGAGCAGCATACAAAGGACTAAAACAGAAAGAACTTTATTTTTAAATGCAATGCTACCTACCAACTGTAACCAGCCTTGAGTTTACTTGCAGAAACAAGTGTTTCAGACATTCTTTGCACACATACTTTGGCATCTTCCCATGGCCATTTGCCCATGGCCCCTGTACCCTAGTTCGGTTAGGACAGACACATCAAGAACACAATGAAATCAAGTTGAGTATTTTCCCTTACTGCAGAGCAGCATATAAACGACTATAACAGAAAGAACTTAATTTTTAAATGCAATGCTACCTACCAACAGTAACCAGCCTTGAGTTTAGTTGCAGAAACAAGTGTTTCAGACATTCTTTGCACACATACTTTGGCATCTTCCCATGGCCATTTGCCCATGGCCCCTGTACCCTAGTTCAGTTAGGATGGACACATCAGGAACACAATGAAATAAAGTTGTACAGTAGTTTCTGCAGTGCTAAATCAGAATTACCAGTTAGACTAGAGTTTACCTAATGCATGCCACTAGATAAACATACTAAAGGGAATCTATACTAGCAAAAGCCATATTGAAGAGCATTGCTATTGTACAGATCCATCTGTTCTAAACTTTCCAATTTACTACCTTTATAACAAGTGAACACATTAGTCTCATGTGCTTTTACTGTAAAGGGAGAAAAAATGGCAAAAAAAAATCTAACATTATGAAAACAAGAGACTGCATGACAAACAGGAGACTGAGGTAGGTAGATGAAAACACCTAGGAGCAGAGCTTTAAGCCTGTTACTTACTGGTACAACAGTTCAGCCAACATACTAATGGCTTAGGCTCTATCTCTTTCCTTGTATATTCAGCATAAGCCTTACGTCAGCCAAGTTCAATCTCATCATTAACTACTTGAATTCAAGTAACTAAATTCTACCTGCATTATAATTGTCAAGTGCACAAAAATATATTTTGCAATGCAACTTACAGAAGAAAATGCAGATTAATAAGATTCATTTAATCATATTTAAAAACTTGGTATCACCAGGCTGATTCAGATTCTTATGTTCCAAACTCCATCCAGCTGCAGAAAAAAATGGAAAAAATGAAGAGCAATTGCACCATAGTTTTCCCATGACAAAAGCAAGTGGCAAGAGATTACCACCACACCCCCCAAAAGTATGGTCACACCACTCCAGGCTGGTATTTTTCTTCTCCCTATTCCCCTCGCTCCACGGAGCAGCTATAGCAATCAAGGCACCTTACAATAGCAAGCAGTACATCCCAGCCACAGCAGATGCTGAGGACCTTACTTCCTGAGTCCTCCTGCCGTTTTACTCAAAACCATCTTTAGCTTCATCCTGTAAACTGAATGTAGCATTTGGAGTTCACTAGGCATCCTCCTGGACTAATCTTCCAATCTAATTTCATCTGAAAGAGTTCAGATGATAGACTTGGAGGCCACACTGCAGTTTGAACCAAAGCAGGGCAAGTAGGTATGACCGGAGATTCACCTCAGGAACACACTCGTAATCCAAAATACTCTAATGTTGACTCGCCTTGAAACAGCCACATGCAAAAACAAATGCATGAAAGAAGAATTAGTTACATGTAAATTCTCAAGTACTGGAACAAAAATGTTACTCCATTCCTAGATAAGAAAAACTTCTCACAAACTCAGTCTAAGACCATGATTACTGGAGAGGTTGTCCTTCAAGTAAAAGCTTCCAGGGCAGGGGAGATGGGTTCACTTTCAAGGAATTCAGCATGCAGTCAACATCTCGGAAAACAGAATAACCTTGAACAAAAGCAGCTCTGGTCATCAACATACTGCATTTTTTAATTGAGCTACTTCAGCTGAACATTTTGTAGCTTAGGAAACTACTGTGCTAACTGCTATGAAGTCCACTGAAACACCTCCCCCCGAAAATATGCATTTAAACCCAGTCTGGTGCTAACTCCAGTTGTTATCACTTCAGTAAGAGTCAGTAGTAACTGTCCTGCTGATAGCACTCTAATAAAGATCAAACAGTCTCATAATCCACTCTAGTAAGAGTAACGAAAATATTTCCTAACAGAACTCATACTGTTTAAAAACAACCTAAGACAACAATTTTATTCAGCTTTATTAATAAAACATGGGATAAAGAATTAAAAGATTGCTATGACATTTACAACAGGACTCCAGAGATAATTATAAAACAGCAATGAATCTAAATAAAAAAATAAGATCATATATACTAAAAACAGTCCTTATCCCTGGGAACCAGCTGTACATAGTGTTCTTCCTGCAAAAAAGCCCATCATCTTTCAGGTAAGAGAGGATGAATAAAATTAAAGCATTAAAGGCATCAGTATATAAAGCTGCCATTTTAAACATTTCCGACTTACTGGGAAGTAATTCACAAAAAGTAATCACAGGAAAGAAGTCAGTGCTGATGTTTCTTTAGTCATGCAATCACAGCGCAAACAGGAAAAGCAGCACTTAATTTACACTGATTATATTTTTAAAACCATGTGCACATTGCCATCATTTAAAGTGCAAGCTACATGTCTGCTGAATCCAGAGAAGGCAAAACAGGTGAGATGGAAGTTCAAAGTGCTGCCATCAGAGGTTATACAACTAACCAACGATGCTGGTAGCAGATCTCCAACGCTAACCGTGCCTAACGAGTTACTTGCTCTTGTTCATTACCAGCCAAACACATACTCCATTGCTTTGGATACAATGCTCTCATCTTTCCTAGGAGTCTGTCTGTCAGAAACCACCTAGAAGGCAGGAGAAAGAAGCCAGAATCAATCAACATAAAGTTAACTCTCATTATCTCTCTTTTCAAGTGTTATTGTATTAGGCAGTGTAAATTCCAGAATGAACCCTTAATTTCTGGAAGAGTGGCAAGTCACTTTTTAAATGATTTTTAGCAGTTGAGCAGACTAAGTTGGCACTGAAAACACCACTTGCTATAAGAAGTGACAGAAGATAAAGGCCAAGGCCACACTCACAGTCTAGCCTCAAACAATTATGCAAGAAGGGTTTTTGCTATTTCCCCTTTTTGCTATCTCTTCTTAAAATACCTGGTAGTCACTAGAGGAAGCTTTATATGCTGTTGCAAGAGGTCTCATTGTAGAAATTCTTGTAGTATTTGCAGGTTGTAGTGGTGAGCCTAAGGACTTCGCAGGTGGAGTAAAGACTGAAGACATTGAGGTTGTAGAGTTTCTTTCGAAGTTTTCCATCACACTCTTGGGGAAAAGAGAAAAAGAGTTAATACGACAATCAAACTAAAGCTACACAACAATGTCCAACAAATAAAGAGAGGGTGGAAGCCCTACCAAATATCTGTGGAGGAAAAGGGCATTATAACGTGTGAATTTTAAGCAACATTAGAAACATTTAAAACTGGTAGAAGCTGAGGTTAATAATTACCAGCTTTATTATTTCTATGCTCCTCCTATTAGAATAGTTTATTTTTTAACTTTTGCTGCATTATCCTCAAGTGTCGCATCCCTTTAGAGGAGACCAAAAACTGTGTGGAATAAATGACAGTGTCATTTACTTAAGCTGCACAGTACCTTATTATATATCTATATAAGCACAATCAATGAGCAGGAACTAACATTTTAGAATAAAATCAGATTGAACCAATTATTTACAAACCTCAAGAATCATTTACAAGGAAAAGAATAAATGCCAGAAGGTGCAATATGCTCAGGATTCCTCTCGTGAGCAAATCCGTTGTAATATACTAAGATAAACTTAAAAGCAGAATCAAATAAATTACGTAAGAGTCAGAGGATGCAAGGGACAATTTAGGACAGTGACAATTTTAACCCACCACTTTACATATAACACGGCCTCAAGCACCTCAGGTTCCAATATGGGAAACTTTCATCTCCGTTGACTCTAAAGCCTTAACAATTGTAACTAACTTCTTTAACCTGAAGACCAACAGTTGCTTATTATGACCACAGAGGTGTGGAAGCAAGGCATCTTCTCAAATACTTAAAACTCATTTAAGTCTTAATAGATTATACCCGTAATTATAATAATTACACCTATCTACCTATGCCTTGTGTTAAGGAAGGTTAAGGAAGCAGCAGAGAAGTAAAAAGGAAGCCCTAAAGCAGAATGCCTTGTATTTAAGTAAAAGCAGTTGCTAACTTACTTTGTCTATACAAGGCTTAACACCAATCATAATAGATTCACCAAAAATTCTTCCATCTTTGCTTAAGGCTTTCCGGGCTTGAAGCTTAGACTGATATCGAATGTGCATCCAATTTCCTGCGTTGGACATCTGCATAAGATTAAATGAAAGTGGTAAAATTTAGCCTTTTAAAGAACATGAAAGAACATTTTCAGAGATAAATCTTAAAGTGAGACATACCACATGCTTTAATATGTTTCCATACTGAGCAAACTGGAGGAGAATATATGAAGCTGAGGCTTGAGGAAATCTGAAAAACATAGGAAAAATGGTCAAAAAATAATCCTGAAAACCAAGTGTTTTGGTGCTAAAATACACCCTTACAAAAAGTTTCTAAAGGGCAAAATAAGGCCTTGTGTAAACACTCCTTTATAAGCAATGACTTACATAATGTTACTACACATCGGTGGTAGAATACTGCCTAATTTGAAGCAAAAACACGTAGCTTAAGCTAAGGTGCATCTCTAAAATAGCAAATATGTCTATTTGCTGGCTTTAACAACAGTTGCAGAACGCCGTGTAACAGCGGTGTCTGCTGCTTCTTTTCATGTTGCCACATTTTTGTCCATTATTTCTAAAACTTCAGAAATCAACTTACCCAAATACAGTTACCCATGTGTCATCAAGCTGATCTTCCGAGGTTAGGGAATCACCCTGAGTATAAAAAGGATCCAGCTGAGCAGGAGACAGAGTAGTCTTTCTAGGCTGTCCAATACTTGCAGGACTGAATACACTTGAGGCTGTTGAATTGAAATTGCATTTTTAGTAAGTTACTTTTGCAAGACACAAAAGCTTAAGAACATACCCTAAAAGGATGAACTCAGACTCAACATCACACATTTCATTTGTATGTGGAAGACATGGTCAAGATTTATTTGCAGAGAAGCAGCAAGTCACTTGCCTCTGCCAGCATGTTCCCGAGGCCGGTGACTAGCTACGCTGCTTTCCCTTTTACACAAGCAGCAGCAGCTTAATGCAGAGGTCAAATTGGAACAAGAATAGCCAAAATTAGGCCTAGAAAGAAGTCATGGGCTCATTCAGAAAGCAGGAAGCCTCATGAACTGGGATGGTCACCCATCTATGTCAGTAGCTTTACTCAGGTAAAACCACCTCCATGCTCAATTTAGTTACAAGCTCTCCACAAGGAACAAGTGTCCTGGGAGGAAGGCATTTCCTCTCCACATACCCTTTGAAGAGCTGGTAAGATGGGACAAATGACAGGCAAATTAGCAAGGAGCTGATCTAGCTTGGACACTGCTCATTTTTAATTGTGCATTAAAAAAGGCAATAAGTAGTTAACAGGATGTCTACCTGCTCCAGGAGTTGAGGGCATAGTTCCAACCAATGGGCTCTGCGTTACAGAGAAGCTGGACTGCATTAAAACAAAAAAGTAATAAATCACTCAGAAGAGGGCTATTGTATCAGAGAAGATTGCTTTCAGGCAACTTAACATCAAACAAGAATGTTAAGTTTGCCCTACGTTACTCCACCTAATCCTTAAGATCAGACACATTTATATAAACAGTTAACACAAAGTTACCACCACCACCCACCCACACTCTCCCCGCTATTTATTCAACACTATTTTTACATTCTAACACACCTTAGTCATCTATTAGATAGCCTGGTTATACAGCAGGCCTCGATTATTACAAGCTGGAATTTACAACAGATTCCTAAACCACAGGAAATGCTTACTAAAAAACTTACCTGTCAAAAGAAGCACTAGGACAGGACTGCAGAGCACACTATCATGTTCACATGTGCTCTTGAATTGAAGGAATCATGGTCACTGAATCCCACTACTAGACAGCTCAGATGAGGTGAATAGTAAAGGTTCACATAACCTTTTAGAAATGTTGTTGTTGCCCTTTCAAGATGACCTGCACCCTCCAAGCCCTGTTTGATAAGGTATTTTACTCAGCAAAGAATCTCTTTTACTTCTGAGAACACACTAGAAGTTCGCAACTACTCGGACATTTCTAGCTATCAGCAACCAAATAAACATACAAGAAGGTTAAGAGCTGCAACAAGCCTGCATGTCATGTAAAAAGCATGACAGAGACAAGATATTGGTTTTTCATTCTCTGCTGTCTACTGAGAAACAGCAGTCACAGAAAAAAGCTCCATTACTGCACAACTACTACAAAGGAGCAAGCATACAAAGAACCTGAACTGAAAACTCAGGTATGTTGCCACATCGGCTTATACAAGTGTGTGGAAGAAGCTTCACTGAAGCAGTGAGCTGCTCACATCTGCTGAGGATAAGCCAGGACATAAACCACTTACTGGTCTTGCGGTCAGAGGTGAGGGTCCAAGCCCAGGACTGGACAACTCGTCGTAGATGCTTCTAACCGGCGGAGCTCCGCTTTTGTCTTTGTGTGTAGGGACTACTGGCTGAGGGGGAGAGCCACCTGCACTTACGAGGAGCAGACAAAAAGCCTAAGGAAGTCTGTGATTTTACTCCATTGCTGTGCTCTTGAAAGTTCACCAGCAAATTCAGCCACAAAAGACCATTTATTTTTTTCACTGGAGACTTGCAAAATCATCTGAGCTATCTAACTGATCAGGTTAGAAAGCCCTGTGCAGGATTTATCTGATATTTATCTCATATTTATTAGAAACTCTCTCCTCACACAGCCATCATTTAAAACTTCAAAGATCTCATCCTAAGTTTAGAAAAATACACTTACCCACCTGTTTTAAGCAACCCCTGTGAGTTTTCTACTGGTTGCCTGGTTTGTGTAACTGATATTCTGTTGCTGTAACTATCCCTTTTATAAACAAAGACAAGGTGAAACTAACATGCTTGTTTTAACTTTTGAAACCAGTTTCTCAAGAGGGCTGTATCTAAGAGGAGAGGAAGGGAAGGTGCCTGGAAAAACATCTCCAACAGATAAGACATGTTGCTACATCAGCCCAAATACACCAGACATTAAGACTGCCAAATATTACACCAATTATTCAATTGATTAAGGTCTGATTAAGGATTTTTTTTCTCCATTGAATTTTAAGGAAAAAATATGTAAGAGACTTTTTAAAATTCATTACAGAGAAGTCAACAGCTTCTATAAGCTGTTATTTATTTTGTCAGCAAAGACAGAATCATTAGGGTTGGAAAAGATCTTCAAGATTTGAGTCCAACCACAAGTCCTTCACCCCCATGCCTGCTAAACCATGTCCCTAAGTGCCTCAGCTCTCTGGCTGCTTTGAGCAAACAGAAAAATTAGATGGCCACATACTGTATTCACAGCACCTGTATATGTGTGTGTAGACATATGCATGGATAAATGTATATACACAACTGATATCCAAATACTAGCATAAGGTGAACTATTTGTTAAGTGTTTATAGCACCTTCTTTGTAGAAGTTGCCTCTCCTCGTATCAAAATTACCTATTAAAACATTTATTAAGCTTAAGCCTACTTCGAGAAGTTCAACCAAACTAAACTGAACATATTTAGGTTTACTGACAGGCAAATTCTAAAGTCACAAGGATTAAAGCCTGCGACAGTGTCCAAAAGTGCCCAAAAGAAGTGGATCCTGACCTGCAAGCAGAGGAGACCTCATTTCCATGACGCCCACGGCGGGGCCCCCGGCGGCCCGGGGCTGCGGAGTCACCGGGGCGGGCAAATCACCCATGAGAAAGCCCGGGAGAAACTGAGCGCCGGCGCCCGGCTTGGGAGACGTGGGGGAGCCGAGGGTCATGGGCTCAGCTCCTGCCGGAGGAAACAGAGCTCAGAAC